AAAACCACAGTGGTGCCCCTAAATGAATATGAATGCCAAATTTAGCAAGGAATTCTGTCAATAAATATATGCAAAGAAAAAAACTCCCTTTTTCAACTCAATCCTTTCAGTATGAATTAAAAAATTAATAAATAAAAGCCAGTAAGTAACCTAACAAAATTTATAGAACTGCAGTCTCTGAACATTGAAAAAGTCCTAATGTTTATGTAAAAACAAATTCCACAAAGTCCACATGTAGGCAAGACTATTTTTTTGTTCACAAAACTTAACCATAGCTCTAAGACTGTCAAAGATATTAGGCAGACAAAACATTTAAATATATTCAAAGCTTATTCCTAAAATTTCCGACAATCACCCTGATCATAACTGTGCAATGTCCCACTACTTGTAATAAATGAATTAAATCAAATGTGTAGCTAAATACAGTCAACTCTTAATAATCCTTCGCATGGATAACTCACTGACAGATAAGCCACACCATGGATATTAGTACAGGCTACACTCTGCTAAATCCAACTGTATTGTTTCCAAGATCTGTGCAAGTGCAGGAGCAGAATGACCGTTTTCACACAGTGTGAAGAGACTGAACAAACATGTGCAATCAGACCGTAACTGCTGCTTTTCAGGGTCAGTTCAGGTCTCTGACAATGGAAAGCACAGGAGGGACACTAAAGCAGACTAGGATGTATTCTGCTCAAATCCAGACAGAATTATCTCTCTGGGGCTCACTACAGTTTCCGATTACAGTGACAGCAGCCACCATCACCAAGCCAAGAACAGACAGGCATCTGTGTAGTCTCCAGTGAACCAAAAAAAAGTTATGAGCAACAAAAAATGCCATTTCCATTTGGCACTTCACATGAACCCTTTAGTCCTTCCAGATCCAGACACACTAGCAACTTGGTGCAGAACCAAATGCACTGGGTTTCCAACACTAAGTGGAACATTTCCACAACGCTGTCTAAAAACCACCTGGCTAGTGCAGTCACTATTACCTAGGGTAACTGAACTTCCCCTGTGCTACTCCAATAACTCCACCTCTAACAACCCAAATAGCCAAGAGTTAACTATGGCTGTAAAATTGGTTAACACCTCCAAAATGTAAATTACCCATGTCTTCTGTTTTCAGAGCAATTGCAGAAAACAGTGCACTCAGTTTTAAGAAAATTCTTGAGGCAAAAGCCTTGCTGAAATCAACACTTTCATTCCAATTTCAGGATGTGTCCCAGTTTCAAGGGAGTGTGAATATTCAGGATACTGAAAATATTCTGTAATTAATGAGAAAAATTTGTACCAAAAAATGGTGACCCATAATTACATTAGTAGTCTCTGTTAAGGAACTCTAAACTATACTGTAATCATTATGCAGTCTAGAGATTCCATGGCATCATGTACTGCAAATTTGCTTCTCTAAATTTCATACTCAGCTCTGGTAAGGATTATGTATCATTTGGAAGACATACAGAGAAGGAGAAAGGTGATGGTCAGTTCTCTGTACAAGGAATGCCCAATCAGTCTGGGCTCCTTCATCCTGAAATGGATACAAAAGAAGAATATGACAGAGGTCTATAAAGCCAGAAGAGGTTACTGAAAAGGTGAACTGCTCTTTGTCACTTCCTATCACTTAGCAAGTGCCAAGTGGCATCAAACAAAACTGTGAGGTAACAGGTTCTAAACAAACCAGCGTACATCTTGACACACTGTAGAGATCAACTGCAAAATGCCTTGCCACACAACATTATGGACACTAAACCTTTATACAGAAGTGGATATATTAAAGAGTACTACTCCAAGAATGCTGTATTTATGGTATCACTGAAAACTGTACTTCTGTATTTGCCATAGATGATACTGGAGAACCCAGCATTAACTCTCAACAACTGATAAGCATGAGTAAGGTACAGTAGGTGTCTCCAACCCGAGCTGTAAAACCTAAAAAGTAAGTCTCAAGAAACACTAATCTCCAGAAAGTCAGATAAGCAGGAACATGCCAGTAAAAGGCAAGGGAGCAGGAGGAAAAATGTACATAAAGGAACCTCATGCCACTTGGAGGGCAGGGGAGGGAGGGAGATAAAAACCCACAACACACCAACACAACCACACCATACACCACCATTACTGTTTTCTAGTCAGTCCGTCAGTAATACTTAAAAAAAACCCACAAGTTTGATTCACAAACTACTTCGTCATATATATCTTACAGTGCCCCAGAGTTGTTAAAGGCAAGATAACACCATTATATAAGAGCTATAAGATTAGGCTGCTTTGAGTTACAGTTGTAGAACTGACATAAGATAACTAATATACAGGCTGCTATGGCAGAATAGTCCTGGCAGTTCCCCTATATCAGGATTAGTATGGTCAGCTGAGTCAGGGAAAAGATTATCATTTAGCTGAAGAGCAACCCAGGGAAAGTGGGGAAGGAAAAAAAAGAAAAGAAAAGAAAAGAAAAAAGTTTTAAATGCTAGTACCATCGCGAAGGAGGAAACAGCGCACAGCAAGGACCCTCCATGCAGTAATAGCCTCTTACTGCAGGTTAAGAACATTGTGGAACCCTACAGTAAAAGTTCAGTAGACCAAAAACCATTAAGGTTCCTGACATAAAAGAAAATACAGTACCTTCAACACCCAAAACACCTTTCTTCACATTATTCAAAAGCAAATGTCCAGAAGATTGTTAACGAAAAAACCCCAAACAACAACAATCTACAGCAGATCACCCATGAGCTATCTGCACAGTTAAAACACTGCACTCTTTTCTAGCTACAAAGTAGTTACTTGTTGCCAGAAGGCAGGAAGAAGTGTAACCTTGTATCACTGACGTAAAATCAGTACTTTTTCCACAGGTTCTGAAAAGCTAAGACCATGTAATTATTTCTGTACTTACAGAAAGGCTCCATAATTACCAATTTCTAAAGCTGGATCCTTACAAGGTTTTATCAGAAATGTTTGTTTCAAGGTTTCTTCAGGAATACCTGCATCTTTTTATCATTTCTCTTGGCAACAACTGGTGCAACAGCATTAAAAAAAAAAAAAATATAACAAAAAAAAAAAAGCACAAAAAAAACCAAAAAAAAAAAAACCCAAGTATTGACCTACTAGAAATATAATTTTAAACTGGCAATATCATTATATGACCTTCAACACTATTTCCAGAAGTCTGAACTTTTCTGGCACAATCCCTTGTTAGGCAACTCTTTGGAACGAAAGCTTCACATTAAGAATGTAGATTTCTGAAATGCAACATGAGTCAGAGTTCATTTTTTCCAAGGTTCACATCCTTCTGTAAAGCTGTTACTTAAGAGGACATGTGATCCATAAGGTAGAATTTGCTGTATTCAACACCATGGCCAACATCTATTGCTGAGGCAAGGATGTTTCCCAAGGTGGTACAAATTCTTAAGCCTCTGCTGTGACATTTTTGTTACGAAGTTTTCACTGATGAAAATAGTTGGTCAAGAAAATTATAGTGGGGGCAATACTGTTTGTCAAGTGTAGCATCTTTGCTATTTAAACTTAAATAATTTCAATCTTATACGGTCATTCACTTTCAGACAAGAATTCATAATTACAATTAATACTGCTATAAGTGAGATAAATAATGGGGTGCTCAGATCTTTGATGCGAACTGTCAGAATATGTTCTCGAGACATTATGCAAAGAAAAAGTTTCAAAACCACTGTAGAGAATAGCAAGGCATTCCCAAGAACTTCTTTAAGTATAAAAACAGAAAACACTTCAGCTACTTCATACTTTGCATACTGTATATTTCAAGAGATTTGAGGCTTTCTTGTTACTTATTTCCTAAAAACGCAAGTATCTAGCTGTCACTTCTGAAGAACACTGCCGTGTATCAATCAGTCTGAGAGGAAGAATAGTTTTAAGGCTACAGTACTGCGCTGGCACTAAGCTGGTACTTTTACTGACTCACAGACAACACAGACTCAATACAATCTCCCAACACTCACTAACGACACAAAGTTTACTAACGTATTTCTGATAAGCAGAGACTAAAATGGTGAATGCTAGAGTGTATACTGTATGTTGCAGTCCAAGTGTAGACAAGGTGAACGGAAGATCAGCCTGAACACGAGCAGGCTCTGTGTGCCTGCAACCCAACTGCAACAGAAACAACCAAGCTGCATGAACACTAAGCTAAGATATAAATTAGCTAGAATATCAGGTATGCAGCACAGAATCTCCAGAATACAATTTCCACAGACTGTCCAAATCAAATCAAGAATCTTGATCATACTTTCTACTCTCATAAGAGAAAGCTCTCAGTATCAAAATGATCAGGCTATTTACAGAAAGATGATGGACAGGAATTTAGAAGTATCTAGTAAAGAAAGATGAAGGAATTCCAGAAGTGATTGAAAAGTTAATTGAAATTTTTCACTCATATCACCCAGCTATTAGTATAAATGTAATCAAGACAGGATACTCAGTGGAGACATTCTCTAGCAATTCTTCTCAGCAGGAGCAGAACTGATGATAACCTTAACGATGAAATTAGAAAGATGCAAGGGACAGGTAATCACTACTGCAACTTTTCAGCTATAATGTCTTTGTTACAGAACCTACTAGTAAATCAGGCATGAAAGGGCCACCCTTTGAAAATGCACTGGTGCATTCAGTCTGGGCTATAGACATAAACATTCCACTTTCCTCCATGAATGGCATGCTTTCAACAGCTTTCTATAAATGTTCGAACTCCAACTAAGTACACATAAAAATTACCCCTTTCACCCATTAAAATCTTAAAATGCAGTTTCTCCTTTATTGTAACTTTTTTCTAAGAGTAAAACTAAGAATAACGATTTATATTCTCAAACTGAATTCAACCTAGATTAGACAAATGAAGGTTACTGTAAAATAGTTCTCTTTCCAAACCAACTAGCATTTGCATTTCTGTTTAGCATCCCTCCCTGTATTTTTTTTCCTCACAAATTTCCTCATACAAAATAAGAGAGTTCACAAAAAGTAAGAATAAAACTTACCCCCATTATCTGTTCTCTTTAAAGCACCATCCTTATGAGGGCATAATTCACATCTCTAGGGGAAAAAAAAGCAAAAATAAAATAAAAAAATGGAATGATCATAGGAGCATTGAAAAAGAAACCACACACATTGAAACTGTTAAGGAAGCATTCTTTAAAGTGAATGGGTGTGTTTTCCCTTAACCTTTACTGAATATTAGTTTGACACAAAGCTTTGTCTTCCAGATCTTGAAAATTATGATATGTATTATAGCTACATACAGTTCTACCCCCAAGTTTTTATTCCTGGATTCCACACCCTGGAATTCCGGAGAAGCCTCCAAAAACTATAGCATGGGGGAAAACTGACTTGATAAGAAACTTGGGCACACTCCCTACCACATTTCCTCCTCCTAGGACTTCTGTATTCACCGAGTTGGTCAGTCACAAAGACACGCCATGGAAATAATCAGCATTGGTGCACATACTATGGCTGACTTGGCAGTCTCTGCTGAGTCTCGCCCTGAGAGACCAAAAACGATCTTGCTTTCTGTCTCGGAAAGTGAGAAGTTGACTCATCCTTTAAATTCTCCAAAACTGCATGTCTGGAAACATGCAGTTGACTTCATATTCTTCTGACAAACACCAGGATCACAAGAGGAGAATCCTTCTGCTGTCACTGTCTCTGTCAAGTTCCTAATATCAAGTTTAACTCTAAGTGTCCTAGAGCAGTGTGAGACAATTCCAAACCAGTTCAGAGATGAAAGAAATGGAACAGGTTTGACACACACTCCACTTCAACTGCTCCAAGTGACATGCAAAGGAACACCATTATAGGATATCCTATACCTAAGAATCACCTTATTAAAAACTTTATATATTCCCAAAGTAGGGACAACTCCAAACATACCAGCCTAACAAGCTTTTTAAGAAATTGAAGAACAGTCTGATCATCAGATGAAAACTTAACACCACATCCTTCAAATACAGAGGGACATCTGGCATCAGCACAGATTTTCTCTGTATATCCTGAACAGTACTATTCTCCATTACCAGCTAACTAGCAAGTCAGCAGATAAAGGAGCCTATGGTACTGGAAGTGCCTCAGAAACAGATTGCCTAAACACATTTGAGGAATGAGAAATTCCATTCCTGAAATTCATATGGCTGAAGTATATTGAGGACTGTTTCTCCTAATATGTAAGAAAACTTGTATTAGCAGCAAAGAGGTTTTCACAAAGAACAGAATAGAAAAGTTTTTAAACTAGTTTTGCTCAGTGTGTTGGTATAGACAGCTGCACACAGCAAGAAGAATCTTCAGGACTGTTGCTTTTTGTCTTTTGCTTCACTCATCTCTCCCTCGCATTGACCCACTAAAATGACCAACAACTTAATGAAAAGCAGCATTAAGCCTACGGTGAAATGTAGAGATAAAAGTGGTTGAAAACTTCTGAACCATTCTATAAGCTGTCCACAGACTGGGAGCATTACACCATTTTTTTTATTTCTAAGTCAAGATTATAAGGACTTCCTTGGCACTGAAATTAACTGATCAGTTAATTTTAAATAACATCCTACATACCCAGTATTTATGTGAGCTGTATCTTAACACTCCAGCTCTCCAAACATTAAATATTAAGTGCTGACAGATACTTTTTTCAGGGAACTCCCCATATACTGAACCAGATTCTCAAAGCAAGAAGCCTGGTATATATTGATGGTGACAGTGCAATATTGTTGCACCCCCAAAGCTATGAGCTGGCAGCTTAAGACCAGTGAGCAGAAACGATAAATCTACCACTGAGACAAGGGAAGCTGTTAACATTAACTACCTTGCCCCACCTCTGCAAGCCTGTAGGAGTTTGACATACATTTTCACTAGTGGCAAAACCAGTTTAGGAGGTTCTCTTCTTCCCTTCACCTCTCTCTTATTAATACCTCCCTCTACCACTCCCTCAGCTGCTGACCAAACTATCTGTAGGGCTGCCCCTTAAACCACATCAGTGAAATGGACTGAAATGAACTTTTCCTTTTTAACTTTTTTAATTCAGGTCATATTACTGTTGCAATTTAAGCATAATCCCACAAGCAGTTGCATCAGCAAAATTGAAGGCAGGGAGCCATTGCACCCCAGCATTAGTAATTACAGAATTAGCAAGCTTCTTGAGCAAACTTTACCACAAAAAAAAATTTAAATGATCACAGGACACTAAGCAGCAAGGAACTGAAACAGTCCTTTACACAGAGGAGTTAAACATGCTCCACTCAGTCTCATCAAAGCTCAGTTTCAACCAATTTCTTTTTGTCTCTCAAAAGGACTCAGGTCTTCCCTCATTACTCCTCTGCAGCACTGGCTGCCACCAGTCAGAGAAGATAGAGGGCAGAAGACTGAAGTGGAGGAGGGAACTTTGACAGTGGAAGAAAACTTGAGTGCAAGGAGTTCTGCAGAGTGTCATCTCACTGGCAGGGAGCAGTATGCCTGCACTCTGCTCTCATGGAGCTGGGCAACTGTGTAGAGATGATGCACTTGCACCCTGATGACACGGACTACTTCTGGTGCCCTGAATTCTGGCTACAATCTGCAATAAAGCAGCACCCTAGTAAAATAACACGCCACACGGTGACCCTTTACACTTCCCCCTCTGGGTTATGAACCTAACTGCTTCCCACACTCAGATTCTGTCACCCATTTCCACGCTTCCGAATTTCAATATGCACCACACAGTAACACCAGTATCTTTGCCAGGTGGGAATAGCATGCCTCACCCCTTAAGACAAGTAACTACAAAAGAATTTTACTAACACTTTATTAGTAGTTCTAAAAAGTTACTGCACTACAGTATTTCAAAAAAAGTGGTAGTTTCAGCTGAGAATTTGAGAAGTGATTGAAAAACATCTTTGGTACTTTCAAAATGGTTAAATGCATGTTGTTACAAAGGATTCTGGAGGAGAAAGGAAAGGTGGCAGTTAGGTGTATATGTATCTCAGAAATCCAGTTACTTATAATTCCTTATTTGAACACTTCTATACATACAGTGCCTCCTTCCTCCAATGTTCTTATGGAGTCAGTCAGTCTCACCTCTGTGCCTGGCAAA